TTGACCCCCATTCCCATTTAAAAAAATTTGGGGGATGGCACCCCCACTTAGGGGGTTGAAGATTTTGCTATGCTTTTTGCGCCAAAAGTTGTCCCCCTCAGAAGCAAACTTTACCTGTTTTTGGATTTTGCGGAAAAGTTACTACCCTGTAATGCCTTGCGGTACGTTTTCGATGGACTACTCTGTATATTTCTGCAAGCGTAGAGATATGATAAATCCGGCAATTAGAACATTTGGTCTTAGTTGAAATGTTTTATTGAGGCTTTCATGGCGAGAAGAAAGGACGTCATGTCAGGTTAATGAAATAGCGATATTATTGTAGGAAGCTACCTATTATTCTGTAGACTAAAGCTTCAACCAGTATTGAATAGACATGTAATATCTACGAGTAGTAAACAATTAAATAAAGTCAGTAAACCCACCAAACAAAGACCAATCTTATAGATATCCCTTTATTAACAGAAAAGTTGTTATGCCACTGTCTCCTCGGTAGATAAAATTTCAAGGAAACAAAAATTGCAAAAATTGTTACTGAAATATAAAAAAAACTTAATTACCCAGTTGTTTTTATCAAAATAAGTTTTTTTCCATTTTTTTATTTACTTGAATTCGGATTGTNAGCTTCCTTATACCTATCTCTAATATATTTCGATTCTATAAAAAAAGTTGCTTTTCGATAATTGCTTAATTCAAAATTGCCTATTTTTTACCTACCTCTGTTATTGACGGTTTTTGTGATAATTAAAATGATCCAATTTCTAGCGAGGATGGCTGTGAAATTTCTAGCAAACTTAAAGACAAAACAACGAATATGTCATAAGTCATCATTTGTTGTTAATCTGGCAGTGGTACTTAGTTAAATGTTGATTTCAAAATAATGGAAAACAAAATTCTTCATGTTTTTCCGCTTATTAGTAGGAAACCTGGATATCTCTCATACTGTATTATAATACAGGGTGTTTCAAGATTATATGCAAAAATTTTAAATACGAATTGGGAATAGGAAAATAAGAAAAAAAGTTCCTATGGACGTATGTCCGGAAACGATTCGTTAAGTAGTTATGGCCGTTTAAAAATGGCGGTCAAATCAATGTTTCAGTTACTTGTTGCAGTATTTTTCATTATTATTAATATTAATTAACCGTCATCAGGTATCTTTTTTGTATCTACTGAGACCTACTACCTGATTGTAATAAAGAATTATAATAAATTGAACTTATTTCATGTTACGTCTTACATTTTCATTATTTAGACAGGGCACCCAATTAGATTACTCGTTGAAATACAAACAAAAATTTTATTTTATTTTTTTACTCAAAAACTACTTATTTCATGATAAAGATGAAAGAGATGAAAAAATTTCTAAATTAATCTGTCTCTCCAAAAGATGTATTGCAACAATTGAAATCNCACACAAACTCGATTTTCAAAATGTAAGAATCATGTATAGAGAATTAAAAGCCCTTTCTAATGACTCCCCACTTGACCCCCATTCCCATTTAAAAAAATTTGGGGGATAACACCCCCACTTAGGGGGTTGAAGATTTTGCTATGCTTTTTGCGCCAAAAGTTGTCCCCCTCAGAAGCAAACTTTACCTGTTTTTGGATTTTGCCGAAAAGTTACTACCCTGTAATGCCTTGCGGTACGTTTTCGATGGACTACTCTGTATATTTCTGCAAGCGTAGAGGTATGATAAATCCGGCAATTAGAACATTTGGTCTTAGTTGAAATGTTTTATTGAGGCTTTCATGGCGAGAAGAAAGGACGTCATGTCAGGTTAATGAAATAGCGATATTATTGTAGGAAGCTACCTATTATTCTGTAGACTAAAGCTTCAACCAGTATTGAATAGACATGTAATATCTACGAGTAGTAAACAATTAAATAAAGTCAGTAAACCCACCAAACAAAGACCAATCTTATAGATATCCCTTTATTAACAGAAAAGTTATTATGCCACTGTCTCCTCGGTAGATAAAATTTCAAGGAAACAAAAATTGCAAAAATTGTTACTGAAATATAAAAAAAACTTAATTACCCAGTTGTTTTTATCAAAATAAGTTTTTTTCCATTTTTTTATTTACTTGAATTCGGATTGTCTCAAAACAGGTATTTTTTATCCTTTACTTCTTACTAAAATAAAAAAATTGCCTTTTATAGTATAATGTTGAAGTATTTGACTTAAAATTCCGCCTTGTTGCATTTACCGCCTTAAAGGGCTATGATGTCATCGAAATTATTTTCCCCAATTTTATACATATTTCTTAACATCGTATGAAAGTTACCATTTTTCTCAACTTCCGTTCAAAATATATAAAATGATATGTACAGATAAAAACACTGGTTTGATCAAGTCTGTTACTGTTTTCACCAACCTTGCAATAGAAAACAAGATATGTCCAATGTTTATACATATATTATTATTCACACACAGTATGTTCACAGTTAAGATGGAAAAGAGGGAAAATATTTTTATTTTTTGTTTTACGAGAAAAAGGCATTCTTGATTAAAACTCTTGCTTGTCTTTAAAATGCGATTGGCATGGATAACCTTCATCTTGCATGTACAGGATGATCAGAAAATCGATTCTAGAGAATATATAGGGTGTTCTATTTAAAATAAGCAAGTTGAAGCGGTACATGGACACCATTTTAGTTGAGAAGGGTATGCCCGAAAACCCTGTATCCCAAATTTTCAAAATTCAAATCGAAGTAGTCTCTGAAATAACTCTAATGATCCCTCACCGTGAGACACCATGTAGTTGTCTATAAAAGTAACCACATGTAGGTATGTAAATAAATTATAGCATACATACGTATGATTGTGGTTAATGCTACACACCAAATTAAAATGAAACTTTTAATCTCAAAAAAATTTAAATTTACAAAAATAAACTGTTTTCTTTTCAATTTTCTAAACAACGTTTAGCGTTTTAATTAATGAACTGTTGTAATTAATGAAATTTTTAAATTTTTGTCTTGGCCTGCATCCAAAATCTTAACTATCCCAATATACAGCAACAACTAATTTATGTAAATAAATAGGTATACCATTTATTAGATGCCTGTGAAATTAGTAATTTTTGTAAATTGAATTTATTTTTGTTTCAGATTAGCTGAATCGACAAAAAAGGTAAGAAAATCAGTATTACCTAGACGTGGACATAAAAATAGCATTACATTTTGCTTTTGTGGGCTGTACCTACTATTATGCTGAACAATTTCAATCAGAGGAGACCCACGCACACAGATTACTTTACAGGGCAAAGTGAAATTCCTTTTTGTGGGTAATTGAAAACGTTTCTGGTATGGTAAGGATTCTGATTTCGGAATTCTAATTATTGTTTTAATTTCATACATGTTTAATTTAATTTAAAATTAGAAAAATTGGAAAATTCTTTTCCCTCAAATTAATTGAACATTTTTTTAATAAACCATTATAATGAACATATAGGGTATTCTGCTTTAAGATTTACTATCCTCTAACTTTTCTCTTTATTTACCGATTTTAACGTTTTTTTTTTGTTAGATATATCTCTTGAAAAAGTTTAAAATAATAATACATCTTACTTCGGTTCAACTATTTTTGAATCGTTGTTTCAACACCATTCAAATTTACGTACAATTTGACACAGTGATAAAAATTATATAAAAAGAGAGAAGCTGTAGAGAAATTTGATTTACTTCTTTGATTGGTATAACTCCCAAGTTTCTTCCAGCTCTTTTCTTTTAGTACTTAATAAAATGGTAGGGGTTACGAAATTAAAAATTATATTTACTATCGTATTGTGGCGATACCGTTTTCGTTATCTAGTTTGGGTAGATAATTCAAAGTACTATTACAACAGAGAATGTTACCACCTCGTTTTTTGTGAGATTTATTGAATTTTCTGGATTATACCAAAAATGTCACAATATCAGGACGTATATCATAAGATATTACCGTGGAAGGTACAGAGGCTTTACAAATTTATCCATCAAACCTTATGTCACTGTAATCGTAGGAAAGTCATTCATCGAAAAAGTGCAGGGTGCTCTGAATAAACAATATGCTCTGTTTATATCAGGTCTTCTATTAAGAGCATTCATTTTAACTCGCGCGTCATTTCTTACTTGTGACAGCAAGAGCTACCATATTTAGCAGTTGTAAATTATAAACCATGCAATCAATAAAGATGGATTCCTTTGAATAAAGCTTAGAAGTAATAAAAATTCGCTACAAATATGATGACTATATCGTGGGACATTTGGAAAAGGCAGATTACTGATGTTAAGAACTCAACTCGTGCTCGGTCAGTCAGATCAAACGAAAACTTTGATGTTGTGTCTGCAAGTGTCATGGAAAATCTTGATCTGTCCATTGCAAAACGTTTTCAGCAATATACAGGGTGTTCCTAAATAAGTGTCGCAACGGAAAGCTGCAAATTCTTCTTGAAAAAAGCAACATTTTTTTCCTCTTCCATTTTTCTCTCCGTGCTTTCGTTTTCGAGATACAGGGTGTCAAAACTTTTTCGCACACTTCTCGAATTCATTGGACGTGCCACTGGTGGAGATTTTAAGGTATTGTAAGGGTTTCCCCCCCCCCTAAATTTTACGCCACTGGAAAAATTGACTTTTGACAGGAAATTCTAAAGCGCCAATAAATTTTACACCATAAGAGTTCTCTTGGTTCATTGCTCTAAAGTCAACCGTTTTCAAGAAAAATGACTTTTTATGAACAAAAGCAAACATTTTTGATAACGTTCCATGTCAATACTATCGAAAAGTTGACCGATAGAGGTGAAGCCTCAGCGGCAGAAAGAAACATGATTAGAAGATGTAATGCGTGCATTCAAGCCAACGGACGTAATTTTNTTAATAAGCCCATTTCTTTCAGTGTAACCAGTTAAATGTCTTCATGAAAAATATACTGGGTGTTGTCGATTTCACCCGTTCTAAATAAGATTATTTTAATGAAAAAATACTGGTTATATGGACCTCGATCAGTATAACATCTGTACCAAAATTCAGGATTTTATCTGTTTTCAAATTTGAGAAAAAATTTAAAACTCGATTTTGACCGCCATTTTTAAACGGCCATAACTCCTTAACGAATCGTTTCCGGACATACGTCCATAGGAACTTTTTTTTCTTATTTTCCGATTCCCAATTCGTATTTAAAATTTTCGTATATAATCCTGAAACACCCTGTATATTGGTTATATTTTTATTGTATATTATTTTATTACTAGTATCATTTCATATCAGGATCATTTTAATTAGGTACTTATCACAAAAACCGTCAATAACAGAAAAATTGGTATAAGTGTAATATGGATGATAGAAAGTAAAATATTTAAAACAGATTTTGGTTAAATATACAGGGTTTTCCATTTAGAAAAATTAAACAAATTCGACAATAAATTTTCACCACCCTGTATAAAATTAAACAGTTTTTTAAAATAACTGTAATAAATGATAAGTATCCTTCTACCTCTCTTACAAATATCAATGCTACAGCTTGCACGATTAGGCAATTTTGAATTAGGCTATCGAAAAGCAACTTTTTTTTATAGAACTGAAATATCTCGAAGACCACTAGAGATGGATATAGGGAAGCTTCATAAAAGTCCCCCTAAAATTACGTGTAGAATCCAAATATGTAAAAATTCATTTAAAATAAGCAAGTAGAAGGCGACTTCCGGTATAACCGGAAGTGCTACAACAATGACATTATTTTATTTAAAGAGAGCACCCCCGAAAACCCAACAGCCTAAATTTTCAAAATTGAAATTGAAGTAGTCTGCGAAATATTCTAATGGGCCTTCACCGCAATACAGCTTGTATTTAAAATGAAACCTCTTAATGGATGAGACACTATTTTCAAAAGCAGCATTGCGTTGTTCTTCTACAGTCTTCTTGACATATTGAAATTTACTAATGTTTTGATCTATATTTTTTTCGAAGCACAAAAGTAAAATAGATAAGACACTGGAATGTTATACGGATATTACTGTATAATATGTAGTAGTGTAGACATAACAGTTTAAATGTTTTTCAATATTGTGCAAAGCCATACTTATATTATCAACTTCGACGTCACCTGTTACGTGGGTGTTGCACAATAATGAAAACGTAATATTAACAGTTGGTAGAAGGAAGCGCAAAAACAAACGCTTAGGTGGGGAATTCTGAAAGGAAGCCTAGATAGTGGAAGTGAGGATAGCGCAGAGTGAAAAGTAAGACGATCGATGCACGGTGAAAATATATAAGTAGTGAAAAATCAAAGTGTTTAACCCGTATNCGGTGCGAAGTTAAACAAATTCGACAATAAATTTTCACCAGCCTGTATAAAATTAAACAGTTTTATAAAATAACTGTAATAAATTATAAGTATCCCTCTATCTCTCTAACAAATATCAATGCTACCGCTTGCACGATTAGGCAATTTAGAATTAGGCTATCGAAAAGCAACTTTTTTTTATAGAACTGAAATATCTCGAAGACCACTAGAGATGGATATAGGGAAGCTTCATAAAAGTCCCCCTAAAATTACGTGTAGAATCCAAATATGTAAAAATTCATTTAAAATAAGCAAGTAGAAGGCGACTTCCGGTATAACCGGAAGTGCTACAACAATGACATTATTTTATTTAAAGAGAGCACCCCCGAAAACCCAACAGCCTAAATTTTCAAAATTGAAATTGAAGTAGTCTGCGAAATATTCTAATGGGCCTTCACCGCAATACAGCTTGTATTTAAAATGAAACCTCTTAATGGATGAGACACTATTTTCAAAAGCAGCATTGCGTTGTTCTTCTACAGTCTTCTTGACATATTGAAATTTACTAATGTTTTGGTCTATATTTTTTTCGAAGTACAAAAGTAAAATAGATAAGACACTGGAATGTTAGACGGATATTACTGTATAATATGTAGTAGTGTAGACATAACAGTTTAAATGTTTTTCAATATTGTGCAAAGCCATACTTATATTATCAACTTCGACGTCACCTGTTACGTGGGTGTTGCACAATAATGAAAACGTAATATTAACAGTTGGTAGAAGGAAGCGCAAAAACAAACGCTTAGGTGGGGAATTCTGAAAGGAAGCCTAGATAGTGGAAGTGAGGATAGCGCAGAGTGAAAAGTAAGACGATCGATGCACGATGAAAATATATAAGTAGTGAAAAATCAAAGTGTTTAACCCGTATTAATTAGAGGTAATTATTCTCTAAGTACTTTGTTGTTAATTGTTCTATGTAATCTTATGATTGTGATGATTATAGACGTTTCATGATAATAATTCTGTATATGTTTAGCCTTCATTGTCTTATGCTCAGGGGCGTATATTTTTCTAAGGTAAAATTGTTACAATTATTATTAAAGATTGCTCATTATTTATTACATGTTAAAATATGTATATATTGTCGTGACTGCCCGGATATTGCAATAACAATTCCTTTGTTTCACATTTAACTTGTGTTGTCATGATTACATTGTTCGAAAAACAAATAATAAAGCATTTCTTGTGCTCACTTTATGTCATACGCATATAAGAGCCCTGTTGAATTTACTAATATTTTCGCCCGTGAGGAATGAATATGTAAAGAGAATAATTAAATACAAAAAAAGAATTGCTAAAACAGATCTTCCGAAATCTCAACTCATAGCTAGATTGCCTCCCGTCTCCTCCTGCTTTTGTTTTATAAAATTAAACGAAATTTCTCCTCTTTAAAGTTAGTAGCCAGCGCCTTTCCGTTAATTAAAAATAGATGTATACAACGTAGGTATTCCTCATGACGATCACATATTTCTGGCCACAACTACGTTTATATTTTGTTTTTGATCGAACCTGGCGTTGTTATACAACAATATAGAAATGTATGTGCTATTGGTGGACCTAAACTATCAAAGAAATTGAAATAATTCAGTTATTTGTATATTTACAATATCTGTATCTACTACGTATTACATATTTTAATGACGATTCATTATTTATATTAGAACAGCTTCAATACTCAATCCATTGTTCAATAAATTTGTTTTTTTCCATTTACTTCCCTCTCTAGTATTAATGTATCTACGTGGTGTGTTTCGTCTTTTATGCATCAATGTTAACCATATTAATAATCAAAACTGTAATAAAAGCAT